CTTCTGAAAACCCCCGTCTTCCCAGCATAGTCTCGAGAAATATGATACATCATCGATGCGGAATGAATAATGCTACTGATCCGTGCATGTTAAGTGGAACATGCATCGCTTTCCTAAAGACTATAGAGAGTCGACTGATATCGATGTCGACGGATATCCTAAATACAAGAGACCTCGCAAGGTCGCACTCTAACGCTAGGAAGAGAGACGGATGATAATAGAAAGAACGTCGTGCCACATAACCCTTATTTCTTGCTCCTTCTTAATGCTTACATAAATCTGGAGATCTGTGGTTATGTGCAGGCGGTCGAATATTTTTACAAATACATGTATAAGGAACCTGATCGAGCTTCTCTGAGATTAGTGCAACACGACACAAGGCAAAGGCTCGACGAAATTCGCGCATATTTAGATGCTCGATACGCATGTTCCCCAGACGCTGTGCATCATAAATTCGTAAATATGGCCAGTTTAATTCTGACACTGTTTATCGGCTAGGTGTTCACCCCCAGATTTCCAAATGGTGACGCTCCAGTCAGGTGGCGAGCGTGAAGCTGCAGTGCGAGAGGCGCCTCGAGACTCCATGCTCACGGCTTACTTTAAGTTAAATGCTGAGAATGATCGTTTGGAAAGAGAAAATGTAAACATTTTTGGAGGTGTAGACCCTCGCACACTTTATTTCTGTCAACTGCCTGAGCACTTCACATTTATGGAAAAAAAACGGGAAATGGAAAATAGGGGACGGGGGAATCGTCAGGTTGGTCGCATGTTTGTTGCTCCTCCGGATGATCCTGAAAGATTCAGCTTGCGCGTATTGCTTCTTCACCGCAAGAACATGCGTTCGTTTGAAGACTTTCGCACAGTTGAAGACAATTACATCCCAATTTTTGGATGCCGTACGCTCCTTGCATTAGGTCTCCTGCACGATAGTGCACATCATGAGAGATGCTTAGAGGAAGTTGTTCACTTCTTGCCTGCTGAACTTCGTGAGACATTGGCCCGTAGTAAACCCCCCCCCCTCAGGGGATCTACCCTGATGCGGACCTGAGTTGATCGTGGGGCGCCTCAATCCAGCATCACGCGAGCCATTGATTGAGATGCGGACCGCTTTTCGGGTATAAAAATCTTGCGCGCTATCAAAGAGTAAATACCTACATCGCTTGTGCAGGTTTAGTCAAAGGGGTATGAAATCAAGTACTCAGCCCGCACGACCGTGGTTCGGAGGCGGCTAGTGCCAAATTTTTGTGCATCACTGAGCAATCTTCGATAGCGGCCAGTATCGAAGAAAATCGATGACGGCCGCTATCAAGCAGTCCACAAACCAAAAAAATGCACAAAACAAAACTGCGTTTTTTTAACAAAGATTTCGTCAAAAATTGAGTAAGTAGGGACAAAATCGATTGGAAATAAACGAAGAGAGTGTCGCTTTAAGTAGCTTTTGTAGAAATAACCTAAGCAAACTCTGCAAAAAGGAGAAAACGTATTTTCTTGTTTTCTTGCCGAAATCAGCTCATTGATCCTTTCCTTTTCGGGCACCGGTATTGTGCAGTTTTGCGCGTTCTTTTACCGCAACAATACGTCAAGTAAGATATTCCGTAAGTTACTCACGAGCAACTCACGGGATTTTCCTCTGCGTCTCATCCTTTGCACAATATTTCGGTCAATTCATCTCAAAATCGACGCTGCTCTTACAGATTTCAGGTAAATTCATCGCGGCACCTACCCTGACGCTCACCCGTCAGATCAGGTCGCATTCTTAAGCATGTGAGAGTGGCAGCTGGTCAGTTTATCTTAGCCTCAACTCAGTCCCTCAGTTGAAATCATCTGAAGTAAAGAGTAGTTTACACGGGCCATTTTCTTGCTTGCTGGCATGTTGTGGCATCTCCGATCCACGTCAGCATTATGCTTCGAAGGTGAAATGGCTGAAGATTTTATCCACAAAGGCTCTATTAGAGCTGACGAAGCATTAGCTTACTTTGATTTATATGACGGACTAGCTCTACGCTATGACTTAGCTTTTAAAACAAATCCGCTTTCACAAACTCGACCGGTCTTGACGGATTTGACCGACTATTTATACCAAACAGAAGGGGATGCGTATTTATGAGTGTCTCAAGTTGCAACACAAGCTGATTGCAGAGATTGTCTTAGCATCATTCAGCCATGGACGACCCAAACTGCATTTTGTTCGATGGTCCTGGAGATGGCGGAAACATACCTGTACAACGCTATATACTATATGCTGAAAGGACAGCACAGATCTATTCTCTGCGTAAAGTGGACAGAAATCGCTGCTGATTCGCTCCTGTTTATCTAATCGTAAGTTGAACCTCGCTCTATAAAATGGTCCTCAAGCTCGGCGGACATGAAAGCGAGGGAGTTATTAACGATCAAACAGTGTTAACATGTTTTGGACACCCTGTATGTTCCGCTAAATGCCAAGCCAGGGCCCAGCTGAAGATGACATTTAAGGATTTAATTTAGAATGAGGACAGCGATATTAGTAAGTGGTAGTCAAGAATAGGCAAAGTAAATCGGAGATTAAGTAGCAACACATGAAAAAAGGCGGTTTTTATATCAATTAAGGTAAATTTGGGTTAAGGTAAGCATTCATAGGTAGAGTTTGAACTGAAGAATACAATTATGTGAAAAATTCTGGAAAATTATGTGAAGAAGGGAGAAAATTATGACTTTGTTAGGTTCCGCGCAACCTCAGGTTGCTCCCAGGTTGCGCGGGAGCAACCTAAATTAGAAAAACACTTAATCTCCTTTCATTTACATCATTTTTTCATAATTTATCATACTTTCCTTTTGATCGTCAACGCGGAAATACACACCAAATTTGGTGCCTCAATATTGTTTACCGGTTGTAAACGGAATGATTTTATTATTTGTACAGAAGGATTGTGTTTTAACACGTTAGAATCGTGTGCAAACAGGTCTGAGTGCTTGTCATGTTTGTAACTGTTGATCTACCTGTTAGGTACGGTTGAAACTTGAGTTGGAGTTGAAATGAGGGTTAGCTTTGTGCTTGCCAACATTGTATCACTTCTAAGAACCATCCCTGAGAACATTACGAGTTCCCTTTTGCTTTCCTCTCAGAAGCCTGTGAAAGCGCCACCTCGGCTGAGCCCTGTGCCAAGCTCTTGTTTCGTACTGAACTTAGACAGACGAACCTACTTTACCTGTTTTGAGTGATGAAACAACTGCAATCCCTGACTAGTACAGGTCCTCCAAGTTACACTGCGATTTCCATATTTAGCAACTATGGACATACCATCGTGATAAGGCTGATGCATGGCTCACGAACTTGTGCGAAATGATAAAGGCAAAATGATGCATTGCCCGGGAGATTCATCTGCGCTGTCACCGGTCAAATGGTCCATGAGACCGCGATAGCTATCTACTCGTAGCTCCTTTTGATGAGCGCGCGTACAGTTTAATCGATTCTATTCAGTTTTGACGCAGGCGTCAACTACGAGTTGCTGTAAATTGAACGTCAACCGCACGACCAGAAATTGGAGTAAAATTCCCCCTGAGTTATTCTAGTCCGAATGCGATTATTAAGATTCTTCGTCAAATCAATATGCTAACCAAGGCCACCTCTAGGAGTAGGGGATAAGTCAACGAATCTCAACGGCCACCAATGTCTGCCATCTTTTCAAGACCACCCGTTCGATGGTGATAACAATGACAATGGTAATAATCTCAGATAATAACGCGGACGAGCGGCGGGCCTTAACGGCTTTCCGGGCGAGCGGCGGGCTTTGATTTGTGGGCGTGGCTTTCTTGCGGACGAGCGGCGTACCCTCACTACCGAGCGTGCGAGCGGCGGACCTTGATTTGACCAGCGGCGACCCATCCCCTCAAGCGGGTGGGCGGCGTGCCATCAACACGTTAGACTAACTTGGAAGTGTTTATCCTTTCAGCTTGCTTTTGCATCATTTCTATGTGCGAGTCATTCTCATTTAGTGTTATTGCGGCTCAAGGGCAGTCAACTATCAGTGGCCCTCAAGAATAAGCAGGTCAGTGTTTCTGCCCCGCATACTCAGGGATTTGCGTCCTGCGAGGGGTTCTCCTGCCTCAGACACTGGGAGAGCGCAAGCCGCGGCTTTAGAAGGTTTTTCCGGGTCTCCAGCGGCTTCAATTGGGGGCGTGGCTGGGGTGCGGCCGAACCGCGGCCTTTTCTTTCATTATCATTGCACCGGCCGAGTCCCGGTGAAACCGCGGAAAATGGGCTCACCGGCTCAGCCGCTTCCCTTAATGAAGGGCGAACATTGCAGCGGCTGAGCCGCGAAGAATCTGTGAATGGAGTGAAGGCCGCGGCTCGATCGCCCCTAGTGTCTGAGCGTAAAGGATACTTGCCTGATGTACCTCGCATGGTCAGTGGTCAGGCTGCCTTAGATGTCCATAAAGTTAGATGTCTTTCCAGTCTCCTAGCAGGAACAGGATCAATATGTTGTCTTGTGAACAAGCTTGGACAGCATCTTGTCGTTATTCAATTTTGAATCGGACTTGAAAATTAAAGCCGCTATATCAGTGACTTTAATTTTTATTTTTTTCTACTGTGCATTTTAATATGTGCCGTGGTGGCCCGAGGCCCAATTAGACCGAGCTGGAATGGACTACGGACGGCCCGTCAACCAGCTAGCCGAGTCCCACCTGCGGCCGAGCCGAGGCTCATTCTCCGGTCTTAGCTGTTAAACACGCGCTTCTGTGTTCCATATGTCCAAGTACATAAACGATAAGCGAAAAAGAGCTTTCTTTTTGTATAATATCAAAATCATACCTTCAGTTTTGAAATTCAATGCTACAGTAAGCATGATTCAAACACTGTTCCTAGTAATATTGCTTTGACCTGCGCTGACTCATTGGAATTTTTATAAAATTGCAGATAATTCGTGAGAAACTCCAATTTTCTGACGGCGTGCACCATTTCACCTTGTTTTGACCTCAATTTTGCAAGTAACTTTGTGACGGTCGCTCAACCTTGTAGCATAATGTTCGAAATTAGACCACGAAGCGTTCGAGCCTACGGAGGTACTTCTAAAGATAATTGACGCCTTTGTGATGTATTATCATCACACCTTCTTAGAAGCAGTAAATGAGTACGTCACTCGAAGAAGTCATCAAAGGCAAGTGGATTCGGCACATGTTGCCGAATTGCAAAGGCGCGAACAGCAAAACAGAGAAGTCATTGAAAACTCTAATATGGAAAACCAAGGTATGATACCCACTGAAAGATCTGAATTTCAACTCTCAAGAAGTTCTACTAAGATTATTATGGTGAGCCACCGAGTGCTTCAAACATTGCGGCTGATGAAGACATTACATCAAATCATGCCCGCAATCATGATGAGTCAACTTCAGACCCCGAACCATTCAGAATGTGTATGTACCCATATTTTTCGGTCACAAATCACGACATCTATTCAGCCGTTTTTGAACGAGCGATATATTATGCCATGTACGTGCTTCATTTCGGAGTTTCTGAGGAAGAAGTGTCTCGCATGGAGGAATTGATGACCGTTATTTATGGATTCCGTCCACCTATAACGGTATCCGAGACACGATCTTCTCATTTGTTCCTTCTTAGTAAGAGATTTCAGTATGAAAAACATGTAAAGGAACTGAACGAAAGCATCATGCATGACTATGATCATCAGAGATATTTCTTTTGTTCTGGTTGTATGGAGTTGATGAGTCCAACACAATATATCTGCACTAATCGCAGCTGTAAAATTTTTGGGTTAGGTTTCCGAATGATCGAGTGCAACAGGAAACTACGCATTAAAGATTGCCGATAAAGAGAACGAAGCGAATGGAAAGATCGGAGGTTCACATGGTCAATATTCTTCCGCAAGTCACCGATATCCTTGTCGGTAACTTCCACGAAATAATCGAGATGCACCGATTCCTTCATGAGAGGGTAAATTCAGCAGGTTCTTCATTATTTTATCACGAGCTATGCCAAGATTGATGTGACGGATCGGAGCGACAGACAGCTTTTTGGTGGATATTATGCAAACATCGAAACTGCGTCGGACTTCAACCGAAGGCACTTGAAAATTCTTCTATCACTGTCTATCGATGGATTCGTTCCAAGAAGGATTTCTAAGTTGGGTCCTATACACTCACGAAAACTCCAGCATTAGATTAGTATGTACAGAAAAGAAATGTGGCCACTCTATCTTCGCGTTGAAGGATTACATCCATCAAAAGCAGATCAATATTTCAACTCCGTGATAGCCGGAATGATGCACACGCGCTTAAAGCCGACACAAAAAATGCTAGAAGTTCTTTTCAGCAGGCAAGATTTTATCGCCAAGTCGAAGCAAGCTTTGTAAACATCAGATATGTCTAGGCTTGAGGCTGAGTTTCGAAATTTGCTTGAGGCCCCACTAGAAATAATGTGTGGAAATTCCTTATGGACTGTGAGCATCCAGCTTTTCCGCGGGATAGCCGATATGGCGGTCAGTGTTTTTGTTACACATGCTATGTATGTTTGGTTAAAGTGCAGGCGCAACAAGTTTTATTTGGAACTCCGCGATGGAATTCGGAATACGGATGTTCAAAGTGTTATATACGAGGACAACTTATAGATAGTCATAGAGTGTGGATACCTGCGACCAACGCAGACAACAGAACACGGAGTGAAGGATCTTACTGTGTTGATGCGGAAGCGTCACAATATGGACTAAACAGTAGGGCACTTATCAGTTTGGTTTTTTAATATTCTCCATCATTTCAGCAAAAACCTTTTTGTTCGACTTGTTACCTCCTTGTCATTTTCTTGGTGACCAACTACACATTTGCTCCGAGGGAATTACAAGAAATAGACTAAGGGGTGAACTTACGATTTATGAAAACACTAATCTAGATCAGTCTAACGCAACTAGCTAGGGATTGGGAGAAAAAAAAGAAAAGGGAATGCGTATCAACTACTTTGTTCCTTGTATCGATTTGTGCTGGAAAGAGTAAGTTTCAGGAGATTTGCAAGGAAGGATACTTTCTACAAAGTGCATTTAGATAACGGAGCCCCCAGAAAAAATCCAGGAATTTTCGGTGAGAATGAGCCAAACCGGAGGAAGGAATGAGGCTTAAAAAGCCTCCCCGAAGAAATTGAGGACGGAAAGGTAAAGGGCAAGTTTATAGGGGCGCGGTTTGACAATATTACCAATATTTAGATTTTGGAGAAGATATGCTAGGCTTCGGGCACGACGAATTAAAACCCTGGATGGATGTCAATCTTGAGAATTCTAAGTGAGCTCTCCAAGATCGAGACTTGTTGTGAATACGAAATAATTCATTAAAGGTTTTACAAAAATCTAGCAAAAACGGCTGAAGAAAGAGAGAAAATTTTGGATGAATTAATGGAGCAGCAAAAGGACTGGCGGCCACACCTCTTCAGATGCCTGCAAATGGCGCTGTATGTTTAAGAAAATCGGTTTCACCATTCTACATATTGTTTATAAAATTTAGGCGAGATGTGCGGTCTTACAGTTACCACTCGGGGAAATGGATACCTAGCGACGTGAGAACATAACAGCAAATAGACAATTTAGTGATTATTTTATGTGCTTCAGCGACAGAAACGTGCGTCACCAGGAGATGAAGATGCTTCGGAAGGTGGAAGAAAAAGATTGAGAAGATGCTAGAAGAAGACTTTTTGCTAAACAGCGGATTTTTGGCGCACGTGTAGATGGGTGCTTGCACCTTTGCACCTTTTTTCCGCTCGTGAGAATGTGATCTTGTTGTTTATTTCGTTGATACTTATTTTGTTCCGGTTTATCATCTCGTGCTGTTTCATTTCATGACGCTGAGCATGCTATTGCATCTGCTTTTGCATGTGGTTAGCTTTTCTAATAAACTATAAAACGTTACAATAATTTTGTACATATCTATCTCAAGAATTTAGGCGTTAGCACATCTGCCCATAGGAAAAGAAAGGAGAGATTATTAACGCAATGACAGTAAGCTGTCAAATCCGTGCAGTCTTCAGAAGAGGCATATCTCTAGAGGGAGAGCGAGACAATATATAGATATTAGCCCGCCAAAGGCACTCCGCTCGTCTGCTTTGATGCGAGCGGACGAGCGGAGTATTTTTAGCGGGAGAGTGGAGGGAAGTACTCCGCTCGCCCGCTAAGGGTACTCCGCTCGCCCGCTGAAGGTACTCCGCTCGTCCGCTTTATATCTGTAGCGGGCGGCCCGCGTGCCTCTACAGGACGAGCGGCGGGAGGCATGATCGCCCGCCCGGTAATGGCCCGCCGCTCGTCCGAGTTATTGTCTGAGTTAATACAACATCAATGTGATAACACTTGGTGATAACAATGGTGATAATACTCGTCTGGCTAGGGAGAGAGGACCAACAGTGGTGATAACACGTGTCTGGCTGGGGAGAGAGGGCAGTGGCGGCGAGTGGTGTGCACCTGGCCCTCAACACCCCCAGTAAGGTTTTCAGCCGCTCCGAACTCCGCGCGTGCCTCTCAGATAATCGCCGGGGGCAGGCGGTCCGCAAACTCGCGCTTTTCTGCAGGCGGTTAGCAGAATTTTGGGGCGTGGCCAAAGCTTCAGCGGGCGGCACTTCCTTTACGGTCGCATATTCTGCCAGCGGGCAGCAATACAGCATTTTTTGCAAGCGCTCGGCAAATAATTTCTTTCAGCGAGCGCTGGCCAAACTTTCAGCAAGCGCTCGGACTCTTTTTAGGCATTTTCGGGCGTACGTCGAGCGCAGGTAAGACTCTGTGTGGCAGAGGTGTCACCGTTGGTTTAATTACTCAAGTTTGAGGTACTTCCTCTCAGCGGAAAGTACCTGGGGGTCGCGCGGTCCTCCACAAAGGACCGTGCGGCCCTCGAAATTTTTGCTATTCTCGCGGAAAGTCCGCGAGAATGCGGCCACTGCGCCGCAGCTAATCCATAAAGAAACCGCGATTGTTCTTCAAGCATTCGTCTTTATTTTTGCCAACTTTCTTCCAAATTTCTGCAAGCGGGCCGCAAATAATCAACGAACTATTTTTCCGGTGCGCGCTTGCTCAAAATTCGCATGGCCGCCTGCCCCCGGCGGTTATCTGAGCGGCCGCACTCGCGGAGAGTACGGCCGCATAATGGTAGACATCCGATTGCGCCTGCCGCTCGGCAGGGTTCCCACAGATGTTGCCGTCGACATGGACGAGCTGATGGTGAGCTCGCGATGTACACACATCGCGGGGACGTACCTGCCCACTCGCAAGCGGGTGGGAGGCAGCTTGTTATGTCCGGCACCGCGCCGCCCCCTCGGACATGCATGTCGGGTGGCCGACGGCCTCATGGACTGCAGCTGCCAGGGTTCGTCTTGCTAGCGTGTCCGCATCCCCGCAAGCGAGCACCGAGCGCCGGCGTCGCCACGCACAGAGAACTGGCGTGAGAGAGCGGCGCACACAAGGGCACCCGGCGGCCAGTCTCCTGCTGCGCCCCGGCAACCACAACCCACGAACCCCGCACCGGGCATGCCCACTAGGCCGCCCCGGTGGTGGCCTTGACGAAGACCGGCTTGGTGAATGTTGCTGTTGGGCAAGGTGGCACGGTCGACGAGTTTCACCTCTCGCGCACGACCTCGTTCACCTCCGCACAGTCCCACTACGACGACGCCGCAGTCACGCATACGGTGCTGTTGGCACGCTACACCACCTGGTGAGTGTAGTCCGCGACACCTGCCACTCTCAAGAGAGAGGTAGAGAGAGAAGAGCAGTCAACAGTAATTGGTGGGCTATCACCAGATCTGCAGCGCAATAGAACGAATGGATATGAGGGTGGCGGCATTGCACTTGTGCCTAACTTCTAACCTTGAAAAGGTCAAGGAAATGCAACATAGTAAAGAATGCCCACAAGTTGAATGAGCTCGAAAATTAATAGTTCAAACTCAACTTAAATCTAAAGAGCTGAATTATCAGCTGTGAGCTGCGAGCCACATCACCGGTTGCGTCGATTGTGGTCATTGTCTGCCGTGTCTGGTAGGCTTTCGGTTGCCTTCGCGACTACACGATGGTCTCGCAGGTCTGAGAGGAAGCTGGCAGTGTCGGACGTTACTCACGGCTCTATCATAAAGTGGTTGCCGGGTGAAGCAAAGCACAATGGACTGTGGAGTTTGAAGCGAGCAGGCTGGACAACCAGCACCCACTAAAACAGAAGTAGATATTGACTCGGGACACACACATGCTCATATCTACGCGTCGTAACAAGATTGGCTCGCGACAGGGTCGGACCGACCCCTAGCCGAAGGTGAGTGTGCAATGTCTGAACGCGCACTCACTAGACATTCAACGTCCGGTACCGACCCCAAAACGTATGCGGTCGCCGGAAACGACATGCGAACATGGAGAGTCCGTTGGTCCAACCTCGGGACACCGGTGGCCGCCTGCAATCGGCCACCAGCGCCCTGGCACATGGGAGGCCACCGAAACTGATAGCGAGTACGGTGTCTCCTGCGGAGTGCCGGCACACACGTCTCACCAGAGAGGGTGCGTGTGTGCGGACAGCCGTTGCCGCCGTTTCTAGTGGCCCAAGAGACCTCACCTGCCAATCACGAAGGCAACCGAAAGTTCACCGTAGACATGGTGAACGAAACCACAATCGACGCGACCGGTGATGTGGCTCACGGATTACAGCCGACGCTTCAGCTCTTTCCGAACATACCCAGTTTGTTGTGGGCACTCTTCACTGTGTTACATTTACCTGACTTCTTCAATGTCAAACATTGACAATATAGACATTGTCACTATTTTCAATGACTCGGGAGGCTGCGCTGGCCGGTAGCCAAGGCAATCAAAAGTTCAGCGAATACGGCGGACGGACAGCGACCACTAACAACACAGCCGATGGTGGCATGGCTTGTGGGTCCTGTCCAGTATTTCAGTCTTATTCAGACTATTTACATATCTTTGCAAGCACATCGCTTAACGCTCTGCCTTACTGCCCCCATCAAGGTAAGCCTTGAGCAGCTTCGACACTGTCAGCGCTTCTTGCGACTTGAGGGGCCCGTCCATCGGTCACGAAGGCAAACAAAAGCCTGCCCGACACGGCAGACATTTACCACAATCGATGCAACCAGAGGCGTGGCTCACAAGTCACAGCCGGCACAGCAGTTCCTTCTGCTCCGGCATCCATTCGCACCTCACTCGGTGTTTTTTTCGTTATCGGGTCATGAGTGCGTATCCGGTGATGCGCGCACTTTCTCTGCTGGCCTAATTGTCACAACAGTGATTGACTGTCTCCCGAGCATAGGTGCGATAGGGGAAGCCGGGCTCTCCCCAGGTGAAGGGGGTCTCGGCTGTTCCCGACCTTCCAGGGTGAAGGGGGTATGTGAGTCTGGGCGGGGGGAGGGGTGGGGGAGGAAGAGAGAAAAGGTAAAAAAGCGTAGTATGAAGAGCTCTAATTTGCACCTTATTTAGGCACAAATTGAAAAAAAAAATTTAAAAAGTTTTGAAGGAAATTAAAAATTAAAAAAAATGACTCTATGAAGATCTGTGCTCCTGTTTCATTCCACCAAGAAAAAACGAAAGCAATAAGGTTTAGCCGAAAAGATGTACAAGTTAGGAACAACTTCAATTCCTGCACATCATCATCATCATCAACAATATTACTATCGCTAACGTCAGAGACAACAAGTTCGCTGCCTGAAAAATCTTCTTCTTCCTCCAATGGTCATCGAAGTAGAAGTAGAATTGCGTGCAAAAGCGTTCTGAGTCGAAAATGGATTTGAAACTTTCTTCTTTTTCTAAGTGCTTTTGTGATTTTTTTCTTGGCCCTCTGTAGCACCAGGAAAGTCAGCTGGTAGGTGACCAGTTTCTTCATACCATCTTTTAGGATATCTCAAAAAGTCATACGATAGCAGCCTGTTTGACTTATACCAATCCTTTGAATGAAGTTTTTAGATAACACTATGTTCACTAGAAGGTAATTGAGTAATTGCTTAAGTAATTGCTTAGATGCTCCATCGTTGTACGACTTCTGCGTTGTGTTCTGATAACAGAGTAGATAGAAAATTTTTTTCTCCACCTCTGCCGTGCTAGTCGGAATGGAAACTAGCTTTGCTAGTAAATCCATCCAGATTTTTGCGGTAGTGGGGAAAGAGCGAGATCGTATGCTTTCGCAACACAAGAAGGAAATATTGCATACTTTTTTGGGTCTTGTCGAACTCTGGCTTCACCTCCTCTGGCATACGTCCTGTTAACTGATGAAAAAGCTGCTCAACTTCTTCTTTAACAGCATCTGCGGAATAGCCGAAAAAAGTAGGTACTATGCTGCGCGTTGGTATTTTTTCAATATCATAGGTCATAATGTCACAAGGCGAATAACTTCTAAAAGCATAAAGCACAGAGTTGGGTTCGCACTCCAGTCAGGATCTAACAATAAGAGCAGTAGCTGTGCTTTGTACTAACACCTTCCTTTTGTTCATATCCGTGTTTGTGAATTTAGCAGCTTTGAAATCTTCAGCAACCTGAAGATCAGCAATGGACTTCCTGGACATTTCCTCATTGAAACTAGGAATCTGCTTGGATTCCTTAAGTAGGAAATCAGAGAGTTTCGCTCAATTGTCAACTCTGCATCAATGTCAACAACATTTTCGTCGGCGTGCATATATACAAAATTGTACTGTCTTGATAGACTTACTTAATAGTTTGTAGGAACGAGAAAATCTTGTACAGATCATGATTCTTTCTTCGGTAGGAGGTCTGCCCAACAGCACCGCCTCTTTTGCCGCTCATTTCTTATTCCACACACATTTGTTTCACGTATGCACACACAATACACTATTATAACCGGGATGCCGTTTGCATTCGGTGTCTCGTTTCTTTCTCTTCTTTCCATCTGCCGAGGTTGTCACAGCAGCAGGCGTATTTGTGGGTATGGGGATTGGAGTGGGCACAGATGTAGGAGTTTTCAGCTGCGCATCGACAGCTTTATCCTCATCTTCTACTGAGATATTCATACATAGTGATCAGGATCAGTTGTATGCCGATCGTCAAGAGAGATTCTCACCATTCTTTGCTGCTCTTTCATTGTCTTTTCCCGACATTGTTCATGCGCTTAAGTTCTTCGATTTTCTTTCTCAGCTCTTCTAGCACATATCGATTCTCGTCTTCATTCTTCGCAGCATTCTTCACCTCATTCTCCGCATCTTGCAAATTTGCAATCATTCTTTCCATTGATACAAGGACATTGCGGCCTCTGCATTTTATGAGAAAGACGATTGTTTACACTTTTCCGAGTAAAGCTGTTGGATGCACTTACAAGAACTGAGTGGCACCGAAGAACTTGTATATATCAACCCGAAGGCGCGTATCCAGCTTTTGTTTCGAGGTATTCTCTAGTCGTTGACATACTGTTGGTTGTTTCTTTCACCAGATCTACAAGTTACACTGATCAATTCATGATTATGATGACATTGTTCATGTTGCAGAGCTTGGTTATTGAACCACAACACTGGCCATTCTCGGAGCTTGAGAGTCTTTGCCGATCAGTCGCGAAGGCAACCGAAAGTTCACCGGGTACGGCAAACGATGACCACAATCGACGCAGCCTCCAGGTTCTGGTTGGTGCGTCTCTTCTACGCCTTTTTCCTTCCTTTTCAGGATTCCAAAATTGCTGTACCGGCAGCACCGACCGCCCATTTTATACTTCATTATATACACTTACTAGCGACCCTGCGGGTCGCTATAAGTAGATCGAGGCAAATATATATATATTATTTATTTTGTAACTAAGAGACTCAGAATACATCAAAAGCATGGAAAATTGTACCTAAAGTAAAAATTGGAAACAACAGTAGATACATGTTATCGTAAGTTTACACATATTTCATGAAGAATTTTAATTACAAAAAACATGCTATAACTTGAGCTAACAACATCAGTAAATTAAAACAAATCAGAAATCAAAAAAGTTATTAAACACATCGATATACTACAAACACATTAATTAAACATTCAATAGGTTGAAAACTTTAGATACTGTAAAGCAATCTAACAACTGATCTATGACAAGTTACAAATCAAACACTAATGAATTAAAAGACTCAAAACCGAAAAGACTTGCAGCATCGAAAAAATTCCATCTTCCTGTAAAAAACACTGTTAAACAAAAACTAAAGCAATTACAACAATCAATAAATATTTGTTCACTGTTCCTCATTCCAAACCTGCTTGTTCTATTTTTAGACTTATTCCATTTATTACCATAATGAGTAAATTGACAGTTAGAAGCCTGAAAAAGATTCGAATAAACTCAAGAAGCAAAAAACTTCGAACTACTGATCACAAATTCAAGAAGCAACAATACGTTGAAAAGGAAACAACTTAGAAAGAATTTTCACATCTTAGGTTTTTTTTTACTACTTTTGTTCAGCACATAGAGCGAAACTTTGATCAAATGATACAACAACATCATCGAACAACATCGAACCAATAATCAGTTTTCTTCAAAAATTACACCCCAATATGAATGTTACATTTAACATCACAAATCGACATAAAGTTTTATCATTTAAATGCTTCTTTTAACATTGTCATTGTGCATGAGAAAATTTACAAAGTGTCGTATTTTCTCACAAGCATCGTCTCTATAACTTTGATCAAAAAAAGGGGAAAAAAGGAAAAAAGCATTACCTGTTATGTTGCTGGGTCAACAATTGATGCCAATTTGAATTAAAACAGTGAATCAAATCCTCTTTTACAAACAGTACTGTATAATAGCTCCCAAAAGCAATGCAAAGTAATAATCCGTGAAAGTAAATTTGTCTACTATAATCATCCCTTTACGCATTAACAAATAAAGGCTAAACTGACAAATGGTGAAAATGCCATAAACACTTTAGCTACGTAAACGTACCCGAAACTGAAGTTTGGATCATTATTGCAGAAAGCATTAAAACATGGTATGAAATTTGCGCCTTTATTCCTTACTTAATTGTAAAAAACGCAGCTACGGCGAAGAAAAATGACGAGGTATAACGCTACAAGATCTCTTCGTACACCACATTTCGAATTTTTGGCAAAAGTGGAACATCGGTCCAACTTCTTGTCACTCTCATTCCCTCTCTTGTAGTACTACATCATCATAATGCTACATAAGTGCTTTCATAAGCAAAAGAAGGGGTTCGCAAAACAACGCCGACTTTTTCAAACGTTTGACCTTGACTTTTATTGATTGTTAAGCAAAACGCAAGGTGGACTGGAAATTGAAAACGGTGAAATGCTAAACCAGTTTTTTCATCCCAATAATCAAGACGCACTTTGTATAAGAGCAGGAGCACCATTGCTAAGATTTTTACAATACAACACCTTATTACCATTCAAGACAGAAGGCAACACAAGTCTTGTATCATTGCACAGTCGTGCTGACACATCTAAATTACCAAAAGCATAATGATGGAGCCCCGTTTTAGGTGTGTGGTGGCAATGATGATGGCGTGAGGTTATGGATTCTCTTCATTGTCACAAAGAAGTCCTTCCCCACCATCTTCTTCCTTAGATGATTTGTCAATACCTTCTAATTGTATGGAATTTCCTGGTAATCTTTGGAGAACCTTAAGATTAAGGTCTTTAGCATCACAGTTACGAACTGTTAATGATGTAGTTTTTGCAAGAACAGTATAATCTATCAGTATTTCAGGAGTATACATCCAATTGATTATAGCTTCTTCAGATGCCATGCAAAAGCTGGTGGCAATGCGATATTATCTTCATTGCAAAAATTATTTCCCAATCCTACCGAAAGAAGCCAGTTACCATAATCTTGCCCGTTGGCAGACAATCTCATATTTTGATTTAACGTAAACGTGCTGAAAAACTGCCATAATTGACTACGCTTAGATGTTGTGTCTACAGTTTCTTGTCAGTACCTCTTTGTATAACGGGAAGACATTGACACCAATCACCACCCAAAACAATTGTCAAGCCTCCAAATAAAGAATGAGAAACCGTTGGGGAAGCAACATCACGCAAAATTCGTTCAACACATTCAATAGCATAACGTGACTGCATGGGAATTTCGTCCCAAACTATGACATCAACAGCATTTAAAACTTGGCCTAGAGGTGAAGAAGCATCAACGTTTGCCGCCGAAGTGCTATGCAAATTCTTGAACGGAAGTCGAAGCTATGTGCGGTTTTACCGTCTTTGAGAAGAGTAGCTGCAATACCTGTGGATGCAGTAGACAAAACATTTTTACCATTTTTTTCTAAACAATTGATTAGAGCGTTGAGCGTGTAAGTTTTTCCACACCCCGCCTTTCCATCAATGTAAAATAATTTATTCCCGCAAGTTTTCGACGTATTGGACGCCGCAGTAATAGTGTCGACTATGTGCTGTTGTGAAGGTGTAAGCACAAAAGTTTCTTCTGGCATATCATATTCTGGCGTTTCTCTTCCAGACGTAGCTGTATCTCCAACAGCATTAACAATGTTATCTCTGACCGAGTTTAGCCCGAAATCATTCAGAGACATGCTATTTCGCATCAAGATACTGGCAATATGATTAATAGAACGTATGTCTTGCAATTCTTCTGACTCTTCTGGATCTTTACGAGATCTCATTGCTGACTTGAACATCTCCCACAAATACACAGGATTAGTATTATATACAGCACAACAGTATATACAATATATGTACAATGTATATACACTTAGATACATGTGATTATACTAAATTAAATGACTTATGTAGATATCTACTTAGAGCTTCCTTCTGCTCCATCGTGCTTTTTGGCGGCTTCTTCTATGAGTTTCACGCGCTCAGCCATTTCAGCCACCTTCCGTTCTTCAGATCTAGGTGAGCGGTGACGTGGTCGAGGGGTATACAGCTTCCTGGGAGCCATTTTTACCCTTCCGTCTGGTGTGCGGCCGATTCTTTGTGGTGGTTCAGAGATCTTCAGTCTGTTGCGCTTCTCCTTTCCATATCATCTCCGACCGTTACCAACTCGCTCTTCAGCGTCTGCATCTTACGTGTAAACCCGGACTTGCTTACAAAGCTTCCGCTAGCCATAGCCATAGTGGGTGGATTCCGCCAAGTATTAGGTTGGAAACTAAGTTTTGCAACTGGTCTCATAACTTCCCTCTCACTCAACATGGCGCACTCAAATTTTGCCACTGCGTTGGTTATTACGTAAGCTACAAGCGCAGCTGCTGTCCTACAAAATTCTGACGTCACAGTGAGGGTTACGGTAGGTGAATGGTATGAAGGGGAAAAATTCAAAGTTTGACGGATGTGGCTGAAACTTGGCATAGGGGTGTTATCCGACATGCTGATCACGAAAACGATATTGAAATTGCGTAATAAGGCTTTGTTGTAGGATTACTGTAGGTGTACGATATGGAGTTTCACCCTAAACAAGAAAAAAGGCGTTGATTCAACAAATGAATGTGATATTCGCGTTTGGCAGATCAAATAACCTTACTATGTAAAATCTCGGCGGACTTTGAGCTTCGGACTCTTTAGTCATTGACGGTCGTCCCCAGCAGCTCTTGCGTACATCGACTCCTTCGACTTTATGAGGACGCCATTTCTCGACATGTCCCTAAATTTTGTTTCTTTCTTAATAGACCAAATGAGTCAACCTCCCAAATAATTTTGCAGGCGATCCGGATTACTGCGCATGGTCTAGGCTGCAAAAGGCTTCATTTTAGCTTGAAAACCCCAAAAATTCTCAAATTTCACTAGTTCTCGGAAAACGCGTGAAACTTTTCTATTTCGTGTTCAAAATTTAGACAATTTGTGCTCACTTGCAGCTCACATTGCATTCTACATAATGCCAAAGTTTGAGTGCGCCATGTGAATGAGAGTGAAGTTATGAAACCAGTTGCAAAACTTAGTTTCCAGCCTAATAATTTGAGTAGAGACGGGCAGTGCAGGCGCACCACTCCTTGGTCGACATGCTCCGATATATCATTAATGGCTGGGGAGAGAGGAACGTGGAACGTCGTTATCTTCCCCGACGTAAACTATGGCTATCTCATCAGAGGCGGGAACATTTAACGCCGCCGATCAAAAGTCTGCGCGTCATTAAAGATTATAGAATGGTTGGAAGCTGTCTGCTTTCCAGCTGAGCTCGTCGCTCTTCATCTCCTATCAATTTGAGGGAGGGCGTAAGCATTGTGAGAATGCAGCCATGACGTTAACTGCTGCATCACACTGGCATCACAGTGTTTCATTTGCAGGGTTTCCGCTTCTCTCAACTGCTGCCGCTTCCGTGTCTAATATATGGAGCTGCCCGTGCTGCCGACGCCCTTCTTCTGATGTCATAGGATCGATGAAGTGATATACCTGACCATGGATTCTGAAGCAATCTGGTCCGTACCCAGGGGTTTATCCACTTGAGCCCCCATCGAAGCCATGGCCAAGAGCGCTCTTATATGAGCGAATGTGATTGCGGAAATTCTTGCAAAGGTTGGTGGTTCCCATGTAAAAAGAACGGAAAAGTTCGGGAAAATCCTTGAAAAAATCAGCAGATATGTTCCCGAAGTTGCAGTAAAGGTTGAAACATCCATTGACAAGTGCAGCTTCATTTGGAAAATACAGAGCCCCACAATAATTACAATAACACTCAATGACCCTAGGTAGTTCTCCTCCATATAGTTGGTAGGGCTATGCCGAGATTGGGAAGAGTTCTGGTACGCCTATGTTGTCCAGAGTATCGAGATGAGCCTGTCTGGAAACGGCTGCTATATAGCATTCAAAAAAACAAACACATATAATGAGAATGCAAGCGGACCGCAGTTTCACGCGGTCCTTGGCTGTCTTAAAGCATTACGTGCTCCTTATTTTCGGATTGTTGAAAAGAAGCCTGAACTTTTGTTATGAGAAGTAACCAAAGTCAAAACATCCTATCTTGGGAGCTCTCGAAGTAACGTTACAGAGATCTCAGCAACTGCTTAAACTATGAAATCGCTACTGGATCCGAAAATCGGAAGTGACAAAAAGCCTTTTACACACCGAAAATTTCCCACTCACCCAGAACTTAGCGCTAGCGAAAGGTTGTTTAGGTTATAGGCGCAAAAACCTCTATCACAGCTGTTCTGAAAATGTCGTGATAGGAATGAGCATTGAAAACAGGTCACTCTGCTCGGACGTTACGTCACAGTCTACTAGTCACATCTACTATGCCGCATTTTTTGAAAAGTGTTTCTCTTTTGCCCAACAACAAACACTCCTCGCTCACTAGCAAAAAATAATGAACACATTTGGTTCTAAGTGAATAAAGCTATTTGTACTGCTTAAATACTCCAGATTGTTTCTTTAGAATGGACAAGCGATAGGATGGGTTCAAATAACGGTAATTACAGTAAATTAAAAGCTTGATGACCGTTGTGAAGGACAAGTATTTCAGCAAGAAGCCTGAAGTAACCCCAAATATAACACGAGCTTTTGGTGAAAATGGCACCTTAAAGCTCAAGAAATACAGCAAGTGCAATGAATACAGCAAGAATACTAACAGCAAGAATACAGTACAGCAAGAATGCAATACAGCAAAAAAGCAATACATAGAATGAGAATACAGCAAGTTGTAAAACACCGTCGAATGTTCGTGTCATTTCGCCACAACAAGACATCAAACAATTTGTTGTACATATTGCGAAATGTGTTTATCGTGATGGCGACTGACGCCTTGTGACACACGAACCACCGCAACGTAAAGCAGTTTGTCTTCGAGAAACACGGGGATTTCGTTAGCGTTACAGCACATGATTCTTCTAGGTCTGATCTAGGTCTGATAAAAGCTGCCATAAATGCAATTTCTTCGTTCTTGGGATGTTGGAGCCAGATACATATCTACCTGGGTCAACTGCTCAGCTAACAACGAAATCACAGTATCTTCACCGTACAGACGCGGGAGAAACCTAGCTTATTTCGCGTAGTTGTAACTCATGAAGTCCCGGAAAAATCTTTAATTTATTCTGTATTTCAATCTATATCAGCAAAGAGGTGGAATTACCTTTTCGATTTTTAGGATATACAGTGTCCAGGGTGTCCCAAAAGTAAGTACACACTTTTCAATCGTCAATATGTCTTTTCCCATTGGGTCTTTTCCCGCCATTCAAATACCATTCGGTAGAGGAGGCTCCAACTTAGATTATCAGTAACGAGGAACCACCGAGCGCTCTTCGTTATTGTAGGATTACGGTAGGAACTTCCAGCATGTGAAACCATTGTGAAACATACCATCTGATGGTATTTGAAAAAATCTGAAAAATCGTGTACTAGGGTTTTCGCGCACATCGATACCACTACACAACTTTTTATGAGTGTTTCAAGCTTTTCTGACAGTATAATTACATTTCCAACAAATGCTGGAAACTCGGGTTATTACAGTTTACCTGGAATAACTTAGGAAAGAGGCGTCGCAGTCAAGTGGAAGTTCCATTTTCGAGATCAGCAGCTTCCATTACCATAGTATAAGAGTTTTTGATTGTTTGGTTCTGTTCCGAGGCAAAATATGGCCTGCAATGGCATCAAATCCTTGTCGAAGTTCTTACAGTAGTCCTACGGTAATGAAGAGTGAAGGTGATACGCTGGATACTGTATATCTAAGTTGAAGCCTTCTTTACAGTGCTACTTGAACGGCGGAAAAAGACCCAATGGGAAGAGAGATATTGACGATTGAAAAGTGTGTACTTACTTTTCGGAATCCTGTAGTTCTCTTTCTTGATTGTACTTCATCAGTAATAAATATATGGGCATTTACCAAAAAATTCTTAGTTTTCGTGTTAATCGTCTCAAATTTGTCATTAGAATGCTCGGAAAGACCAAACTCTCTCCAAGTTATACTATAAGCTGCGAATTTAGTTTGAAGCAGTGAAACATCAACAAACAAATCCTTCTATGGCTTCGCCTGCTGCCCGTATTCTCAACAATATGAATTTTGCTATTATATATTAGAAATCGAAAATGCCGGTGAAGTTCTTTTAGTAAATGAGAACACTG